GAGGCAAGAGGGGGGGGCGCGCAGCCCCCCCGCCGCCCGGCCGAGGCGGCCGACGGGTGCACACCCGGGGAGCGCGGGTCGGCCTCCGCACCCTCGGGAGCGGGGGATCGGACCACCGGCCATCGGCGGCGCCAGTCCGAGGCCCTCCCTCCCCGAAGCCCCCGCTCCTCGCCATCGCTCGGACGTCCATTCCCGGTGCGTGGTCCGGTTTCGTGCGCGTCTCTTGTTGGCATGGAGGAGCAAGCAGGCACCGTGTGAGGTCCATGCAGCTCGCAGGGTTTGCGTTGGGCTTCGTGTGGGACCCTGCGCCGCGACAGACCTGGGGCGATAGCTCAGCATCGATTTTCATCGGCCTGCAGGACCCTGCGCCGCGACTGACCTGGGGCGATATCGTAACATCGATGCTATGACTCGTCAGGTTTGTGTGGCGTTCCATTGAGACCGATGGAAGAGCCGTTGCCTCGCCATCGCTCGGACGTCCCTTTCCCGTGCACTCTTCGACTTCGTGCGTCTCTTGTGTTGCAAGACGATCCAGGATGCTCCTCGATGGCCCTCATCGAGGAAAGAAGGTGCGCACGCCCGAGCGGTGCCGAGTCCCCCGAGGCGCCGCGATCCGCCGCTCCGTCCTCCAGGCGGCGGGTCGCCGCTCGGCCCTCAGCGCGGCGGCTCGTCGCTAGCAGTCCCCGACTCGCCATCATCGCTGGGACGTCCTTTCCCAGGGTTTTTTCTTTGGTGTTGTGCGTGCATGTTTCGTGATCAGACGATCCAGTCTGCTCTTCGACGGCCCTTCGCGGCGGGTCGCCGCTAGTAGTCCCCGACCCGCCGTCGCTCGGACGTCCTTTCCCCGTGCGTTGTTTCGGTGTCGTGCGTGCATGTTTCGTGATCAGTTGATCCAGTCTGCTCTTCGACGGCCCTTCGCGGCGGGTCGCCGCTAGTAGTCCCAACCCCGCCGTCGCTCGGACGTTCTTTTCCCGTGCGTTTTCGTTCGGCGTCGTGCGTGCATGTTTCGGAATCAGATGATCCAGTCTGCTCTTCGACAGCCCTTCGCGGCGGGTTGCCGCTATCAGTGCCCGACCCGCCGTCGCTCGGACGTCCTTTCCCCGTGCGGTTTTGTCGTTGTCGTGCGCGTACTTCTCGTGATAAGATGGTCCAGAATGTTCCTCGACGGCCCTCGCCAAAAAGAAAAGCACACCCCCGAGCGATGCCAAGCCGAGGCGCATCGTCGCTGTTAGTCTTAGGTTGGGCATGTCCTCCTACATGTGGGCTCGACAAGAACAAGACAACAAGATGCCCCCCTAACACCAAATCTTTACGAATAGCGACGAGAGTATGAAGCATCGTCACCTGACTGCTCCTTCCTATTCTTGGATATCCCTCCTGTCGAGGGACATGCCCCACTTGCAAGGAAACAAACTCTATACACCGACGCTTTTTCCGACCCTGCACCGAAATTCATACCGGAACGCGGATCCTGGTGTATACGGGATCCTGGTGTATACATGTTTCGCTGTTTCCCTGGGAACACCGGGGGGAAAGTCTACACCACACCACCCCGACGTCGTCCCCGACCCTCAACAAGTACTGGGATTGAGACAACAACCCGCCACTGGTAATATATGTATATATATACGTATATATGTCTTCCAGCTTCCGAACTTGAGCTCCTCCTGTCGAGGGACACGCCCCACTTGAGCTCCGTCCTCGGGCCCCCCCCCCAACAGAAAACTCCACGAAGAGCGAAGAGAGAACGAAGGATCGTCTTCCGACTGCTCCCTCCCTATCCTTGGATGCTCCTCCTGCCGGGGCACACGCCCCACTTGAGCTCCGTCCTCGGGCCCCCCCCCAACAGAAAACTCCACGAAGAGCGAAGAGAGAACGAAGGATCGTCTCCCGACTGCTCCCTCCCTATCCTTGGATGCTCCTCCTGCCGGGGCACACGCCCACTTGAGCTCCGTCCCTCCGCCCCCCCCCCACAGAAAACTCCACGAGAGCGAAGAGAGAACGAAGGATCGTCTCCCGACTGCTCCCTCCCTATCCTTGGATGCTCCTCCTGCCGGGGCACACGCCCCACTTGAGCTCCGTCCTCGGGCCCCCCCCCAACAGAAAACTCCACGAAGAGCGAAGAGAGAACGAAGGATCGTCTCCCGACTGCTCCCTCCCTATCCTTGGATGCTCCTCCTGCCGGGGCACACGCCCCACTTCGAGCTCCGGCCTCGGGGCCCCCGAGCCTCGCGGCGGCGGCTGCACGCCGCTCTGGGCGCGGCGTGCCGCGCCACTCGCGCACCGGCGCGCGCTGCGGGGCTGTCGCGGGGTGTGCCGAATCGGGTGCGGGTACGCCGTGCGGGCGCTGCCGCTTGGGGCCTTCGGTGGAGCTCGCCGAGGGGCCACGAAGCGTGTGAGGGATGTGCCGGGTCGGGTGCAGGTGCGCCACACGGACCCTGCTGCTGAGACCTTCGGTGGAGCCCCCCATGGGGCCAGGTAAGGAGTGAGGGACGTGCCGAATCAAGAGCGGGTACGCCATGCGGAACCTGCCGCTGGAGCCTTCGGTGGAGCTCCCAATGGGGCCACGAGAAACGTGCGAAGAGTCCGCCGAAGCGGGCGCGGATGCGCCGTGCGGAACCTGCCGCTGGGCTCTTCACTAGACCTCCCCATGGGCCCACGAAACGCGTGAGGGTTGTGCCGAACCGGGTGCGGGTACGCCATGCGAACACTGCCGCTAGGGCCTTCGGTGGAGCTGACTGTGGGGCCACGAAACGCGTGAAGGGGTGTGCCGAATCGGGTGCTGGTAAGCCACGCGGACCCTGTCGCTGGGGCCTTATGTGGAGCCGACCGTGGGCAACGAAACGTGCGAGGGGTGTGCCGAATCGGGTGCGGGTACGCCTTGCGGACCCTGCTGCTGGGACCTTCGGTGGAGCTCCCTGTGGAGCCACGTCGTGTGAGCGGTACTCCAAATCGGGTGCGGGTACGCCCTGCGGACCTTGCCGCTGGGGCGTTCGATGGAGCTCCTAATCGGACCACGAGACGTGTGCATAGGACCACGACGCGTGTGAGGGTTGTGGCGAATCGGGTGCCGGTACGCCATGCGGACCCTGTCGCTGGGGCCTTCGGTGGAGCTGGCCGTGGAGCCACGAAACGCGCGAGGGGTGTGCCGAATCGGGTGCGGGTAAGCCACGCTGGCCCTGCCTCTTGTGGTCTTCGGTGTAACTCCAGATGGAGCCACGAAGCGTGTGAGGGGTGGGCCTTCCGTGGAGCTCACCACGTGGAACGTGCGAAGGGCCCGCCGAATCTGGCGCGGGGTACGCCATGCGAACCTGCCACTGGGGCCTTCGGTGGACCTCCCCATGAGACCACGACGCGTGTGATGGGTGTGCCGAATCGAGCGCGGGTACGCCATGCGGACCTGGCCGCTGAGGCCCTCGGTGGAGCTCCCTGTGAGGCCACGAAACGCGTGAGGAGTGTGCCGAATCGGATGCGGGCACGCCGTGCGAACCTGTCGATGGGGATTTCTGTGGAGCTCTCCCTAAGGCCACGAAACTTGTAAAGCGTGTGCCGGGTCGGGCGCGGGCACGCCATGCGGACCCTGCCGCTGGGGCCTTCGGCAGGGCTCCCTCTGGGAACCACGAAGCGTGCGAGGTGTGCGCCGAAGTGGTGCCGAAATGGTGGTGCGGAGGGCAGAGGCACGGAGAGGAGGAGGGAGGAGGACGAGGAGGAGGAGAAGGAGGACGAGGAGGAGGAGAAAGATGAGGAGGAGGAGGAGGAAAAAGATGAGGATGATGACAAGAAAGATGGGGAGGAGGAGGAGAAGGAACAAAAATGAGGAGGAGGAGGAGGAGGAGGAGAAAGATGATGAGGAGGAGGAGAAAGAGGAGGAGGAGGAGGAGGAGGAGGTGGAGGAGGAGGATGAGGAGGAGGAGGAGAAGGCGGGGAAAGGTGGAATGAAGGAGTGGGTGAGTGGGTGGCGCGGGTCGCCGTCTCTTCAAAACGAGGGCCCAACACCACAGGATGGCTGGGAATGAAACATCGTCAAAAATCACAACTGGAGCACCACGGTCGGGAACGTGTGCTCAGCGTGTCGCGGCGGCGGCCCCAGCGACAAGGTGGGCCTTGCGAGCGGATATAGCGTGTGTCGCTCCGCTCCGCGGGCCAGGAGGCTGTAGAAAGCTCGCTCATTTGACGCCTGGGAATGGTGACGTGGATGGCGTGTCGCGCCAGAGCGCGGTGGGCCATCGCTGGCGGCGCGACACGCTAAGTCAAAAATCCTGACCGTAGACCCCCTCGTTCTGCAACCTTTCTCGAGCCGGGTCGATCCGCGATAGCCCCAGGGCCCGCAACAGCGACAAAAGCTGCGACGCCAGGATCTCAGGGTCGTGGCCGCCGCCGGCGCCGCCACCGCCGCCCCTGTTGGCACCAATCGTTCGTGGTCGTCTCCGCTCTACACGCCCGGAATGGGGACGGAACGTAGGGGGCACGATGCCCACCATCAGTGCCTGAAGCAAGAGTTATTGTCCTTCGGTGCTTTCCGCGACGCGCACGGGGGGGGAGTCGGGGGGGAGGAAGGCTTCTCAGAATGGAATGGAAGGACCCGAAGGCAAAGTGCACGGCACTGGAGCCGCCGCGCCGCCGCGGCCGGCCGCGCCCGCGCCCGGGCGCCCGCGCGCGGGCGCGGCCGGCCGCGGGGCGCTCACGGCGCGGGTGGCGCACGGCGCCGGCGGGCCCCCCGCGAGCGGGCAGCATGCGATGCAGCGCGATCCTCCGGCCCCATCTACTCCGACCCAATCTAGGAAGCCTACAGTCGGGGCGCTGACCTAAGGAACCCTAGATAAGGCACGAGGCCCCCTGGTCCCATCAGCTAACCTTCGATCTCGCATGGAAGACCTTAGGACCCCCCAAGGCAAACGGCAGCACAATCAGGGCACACCGAGCCCCTCCCCAACGGAGAGGATCCCTCCTTCGGCGCCCCAGCTGTGGAGTGGGGGGAGGGAAGGGGGGGGCCGGCGCGC